TTTATTGGCTCTGCGTGTAGAGTATAAAAAATAATTGTACTAATCGGTTTTAGATGCGGCTTTGTTTAAACCCTAAGCCGTCGTGTAAATGTTTTCAATCCACGTCTGCCCACAAATGAATATTATGTAAAATAGGTTAGCTTTCTCCACTACTGGAACTCTAGTGCGTCTATTACCCGTATTGAATTCTCTGGAAATGTTTAATCCAATTTATTTCGCTTTTGTTAAAATTTTTAAATAAACTGCTTTGTGTGTGTGTCATTTGGACGTTGGGTGGTGTCTACTTTGTAACCGTCTACTATACTTCCATTCTTTATTCTCGTATCGGATCGATATATTTCTGTCCTTTTCCGATACACAATAAACTTTATAACTGCATCGATATAACAAAAATAAAATCGTCATATAATTTATATGACGTCATTTGGATTTTTGCAGTCAGGTTTGCATCGGTATATCCAACTGCGCTGATTAAAGTCTATACCTGAAAACGAGCATCAAACTGCGCCGTCAGTTTTGTGGTTTATAATTTTAGAACATAATTGCCTCGGATTCTGCTGATTTTAACCTGTCGTAAATAATATTCAGCGATGAATGCAAAACCAGTGAGTATTCCAATGAAAATTGAATCCATCGTAAAAATAACAAAAATTTTCAGTTTTGACATACGCCTAACTTACTAAAAAGATTATTTTATGTATTTAACTGTTTTAATCTATCAGCTAAACAATTCTGCTATTCCTAGAATGCATGAGTGTTAAACCACAGAACACCGAAAGCAATCATTTTTATATGACCCTTATAGCAGGACACATAGAGGCGAAAACTGTATTTATTCGGAGATATTGAGCAAATGACGGTTAAGCTGGGTGCTAAATCTAAATTTGTATTAGAATTCATGGTTGTGGTACTAAGTAATTTTCTGAAATGTATTATTTAACACATGATCAATTCGAAATGGAAAATCCAGTCTGTTTCTTGTTAGGTTTTCTTGAACAAAATTACTAAAGAATGGGTGCATTAAAACCTCGCTTAATTGTTTACCACACTCGCCTGCGGCTCGTATGGCAAACTTTATCGCCTTTATTACACGCTCTTTAAGCATATATCATTAAGTAATTTAATTTGCAAATCTGAATTTAGTGTAATTTTCATAATTGAAAACAGGTCGAATTTTGGAAAATTTACACGTATCATCAAACTTTTTGCAAAATGTGGCTACGTTTACACAAAAATCGTAAAATAATGTAGCTTTACGTTTAAGTTGTAGTTAAATTTTCGAAATGTTCAACAAATTATAATAAATTTGAAGCCTTGAATAAAACAAATAGCGTGTCGAAACGTCAGTTGCGGTTTTTTTACTGTTTTTTAATTGCTTTTAAATTAATAATGAATATTAGCAACACCTAAGATGCTAAATTAATGCACTTTCAGACAAATTTATGATTTGATTTTTATCTACAAATACACTTGTTTGTATTTTTCGTTAATGTTATGTTTGTAATCAGTATCATATATAATTTCTTTGAATAGTTGAGAATATGGTAAAGAGTGAAGTCCCGTCAGTTACTCAGCACACTTTTTTAAAATGGGTATACTTAAAGTACTCTGTAGGTAATTGCAGCAACTTTTCTTTGTGAAATTACTTCGAAATCGAAGTCGCATCATGGTTTTTTGAGCAGTCTGCGACTTGTGTTTGAATTGAGTTGAACCGACGAGTTTTTTTCGAATTAAAAATTCATTATCATGTAAGTTTTTGTCGAATTTGAAGCTCATTATAATATAATTATACAATTTTTATGACAGAAATTTTTCCACATGTGTAAAATATATAGTTCGGTCCACCGCAGCAAGCGAGTGGTGGGCGTTGAAAAATGAGTCAAGAAGTACCAATTGCCGGTTATAGATAAAACAACAAGCTGTATATACTACACGATGGCAATGACAACGGTATGCCGAGCCAGGATTGCCAGCAGTGCTTTTGTCATGATTGTGGATTCTCTGTCCGCTCTCCGGTGGTTGACCAAGGTATATCCAAGGCCGCCCGGTTGGTAGGGAGTCGCAGGTCTTTACAATTAGCTGAAGTCTCAGCCGACAACGGTGCATTCCTTGCGTAGGCGATTACACTTAGACATGAGAATGAAACCTGTGAACCTGGCCCATTCAATACTAGTGGTTATGGTACTTTGCGGTTTTCCCGTAAGGTGACAGTTTATGTAATAATGCTCATTGTTGCCCTGTTGCCTAACGTCATAAACTCGAAAAATTCATGAACTCGACCAACGGCGCCAGAATAATATATGCATCTGTGGGAGAGGAGGGGGATCAAAGAGACGGAAAGATCGTATTTTCAAACGTATCAAGCAAATTGAAAAAGCGTTTTGGTCACAAAATTTTAGGCGGATTGTGCCACGGTTTTCGGAACCCCGAAAGTAAAATGATTACTGCTATTGCAACAGTGTTAAAATCGTTCATTTGAAGATCTCAAAGATCTACACTTGTGGGATCACGACACTTCGTTATTAACTTGCCTGAATAGTTAATTTGAAGAGTCGTGACATTATGGAATTGAAAGAGACTGATATTTATGAAAATGCTACAGCTCTTGGTCACAAAACACCCATACGCTTCGGGTTATCCCCTGATCATCATCTGGTTTCAATAAAGAAAGTTATCAATTTTTTGGGTGATATCTACGGACAGAATCAGAAGTCACGAATTTAAGAAATTAATTGTATATACTTAACTAAAAAATAAATATAACCATCACGCGATTTAAGAAACACTTTTAGGTTTTTTCTGTTCCATGTTCATCCACGTATGGTAGGTATGAAGATGCGATTCAAGATGAATTTTAAAATAATAACTAGGCAATTTTAATCAACCCAAAATACAGCGGTGTTGTTTTTTCTAAAAACAATCCACTTCACATTCGGTATAAAGAAACATGTAAATTTCACATCATAAAATTAGTTTTTGGCAGAAATAAATTTAATTTAAATTTTATTCGTCTCGATGAACTCCACTTTCAAAGAAAAATAAAATTTTTTTCCAAGTAAAAATAATATACCTTCAAAGGACAACTTACTAGTGACCGCATTGTTATAGAAGAGGAAAAAAAGCGATACAAAGCTTTTATCGATTTTATAAAAGGGCGCACATTCACATTCGAGGCTTTTAAAGGCATTAGGGTTATACAAAGTGCAACCAAACATGTTTTTCGACTGTTAAAAATAATTTCTCTGGAAAAAGGAATTTACCACTGCCGCTCGACGCACTTGTTACAGAACAAGGAAAAATCTTTACACGGCTTTCATCGATTATCAAAAGGCACACATTCAGATTCATGGATTTGGAAGGTGTTAGGGTTGTACAAAGTACATCCGAACATATTAACCACAGCCTCGATTTAAAGTCAAATCCAATAACATTTCAGCAAAATCGAGGAATGTTTTTTGTAGTCATTCGACGGAGTAAATCTACTGAAAAGACATTTCAAACGGAAATGGTTACATTTTTCATGGAAAATGTATGCCTTTATACACATAATTAAAACCCTTTGCAAGGCGTGTGAAGTAAACATTTTTCTCACAGTCATTTCACGAATCCAAGTGTGGATTAAAGGATTATAACTGTATTATTTCAGATTTAAATACATTTTTACACCATTTTTGTTCACGGAATGGAATCATTCATTTCCCGTTTTTTCGGTTTTAAAAATATATATATAGTTGAAAAAATTTGTTGAGTTTGAGTAAATTTAGTGCCACTGTATTGATCTGTTGCATATTTAACGCGACATAATCCGAATATAATTGCGTTAGTACTTTAACTCGATTGACGTGTTATAAATAACGAAATTGCTTTTAGAAATAGTAATTTTGTTAATTTTTGTGAAACTTTTTTACTGGAGTGGAAACGCGTCAGCTGGAATCGAGGAAGAATTGTAGAATGTAGAAGTCAGTTTGGTATACAGGCCTTCCTTCCACTCAATTGCGCTAATTACATTGTTTGTTTCAAGTAAACCTCCACATAAGGAAAGATAACAAAGAGACTAAACTTAAAAATGAAAGCTTTAGGTTATTCTCATACTTTTACAAAGCACAAACGATAAGGCAAAAAATTCTTCTATGTTTGGTGTATTTGAACATCATTGTTCTCGTTTATGTATTAAGTTTTAAAAGAAAACTTTAATTCAGGTAAAGAGCTGTTTTTCCTTTGAAAATTCTTACGCTTGAGCAAACTGATTTATTCCCGTCTTGGATGAATTTGGCACAAATGAATAAGCTACTTTATTTTATAAATCGTTGTAGAATAATGGCATCACTAAATAATGTTAATATAAACAGAATAATTATTATAATTAGTATAAATTCAGGGAAAATTCTTAGCTGTAACGAAAAGCTTTAAGCTTTAAGAGCTTCTTTGCTCGAAATGGCATAATTAATTGATATATTCCGAGCGAGTGCCTTAAACAAACGCTGGCAGCTCGTAGGTGAATCTAATTACGTAATTATCTCTATAAAATTAAGATATAGGGATTCTATTTAATCTACCACGTATAGGATAAATAATATATGAGCATGCGTGCTTTTCGACAACTGATTCTGACACGTTTTACAGCCCCAGCATTCATACAAAACACGACCAGAACATCAATACTTTTTAGAATTTTATTCTCTTTATTATTTATTCTTTGTAAGAAGACAGTATTTACTGACGTCGCTGGCGTCCTCTTTATTACTTCATTTTTAAAACATGTTTAAATAAATAAGTCAAAGGTAGCTCGTCTTTTTAATTAAGAAAGAAAGATCTGCACAAAGGACGTCATGTTCGTTCGAAAAAGTATTACTCTCGTCGAGTAAATAATAAAAATAAACAAATTGCGAGCAATGAAATTTGATCTTTGTTGTTTGCAAAATCCGATCTAGACGAAGTGTAGCGAAATTATACGATGCAAAGGGAGAAAGCTTTCGAGAGGGAGAGAAAGATGCTGGGGGCGGCAGTTAGTAGCAGTTGATATTGGGTTGCAGTTAAAGGTGGGTGTTGCCCTTTGATCACTCTACATCAAACGTAATACTGTTTCAAATATATTCGTCAGTCGGTAAAAAGTCTTCGAGACAAAATGTTGCATATAAGAGCTAAGGCATCAAGACAGTAAAGTATGTACGTATGAAATATATCTGCATGTGTTTGAATTTATAAAGCAAATTTTATTGTTTTTTTTTTAATATTGTAATAAAATTGTAGAATGGATTATTTACCGAGTCTTTACGGATGCATGTTTTTGGTGGGCGTTTTGGGTAACGGGAGTCTTGGCTTAACATTGTGTTGTGGTCCAGGAGCTAAATCACGAAGTCCTTTGCTTTTCGGTCTAATAGTTGCCGATCTCCTCGTGTGTTGCTTAAGCGGTCCCATAACAGCAGCTCTATATGTGCTTTCTTCTTGGACTCAAACCTGGCGTCATGTTGCTTTGTTTATACAGGTACCTCGATTTATTAAAAATTTAGATGCACGTGTTAATTCGGATTTAAATTTTTTTAGGCTTGGCCTGTTTCTGCCAGTACTTTATTGATGATGGCATTGTCTGTAGACCGTTATCTTACCGTGAAAAATTATAGACCTGCCGGACAAGTGGCTCGTAGACGCTATTTACTTACTACGGCTGTTGTTGTCACTTGGATTTCAGCTGCAATCTTATCTGTAACTCAACTCATTTCCAAACATCCATGGCGCAAAAGTTTAATTGTTACTCATATAATACTGGTCTACGTAATGCCGGCTTGTGCTGTTCTTATAAGCCACTTAGGAGTCCACGCCAAACTTACGGCTCTTTCTTTGACGGCCCGCGCCAAGCATGGAGAACTGCCTCTCCCGATGCCCTTGCTCAGAAGACCTACTCATGTCATCATCGTCGCTGGAATCCCCCAGGTAAAACAAATTAAAAAAAAAATTGAAACTGTGTCTGCGTTTGATTAACTTTGTGACCACGCCAAAAAAAAAATCCCCCAAAATGTATCTTGGTCAACCCAAAACTATAACAACTTGACGACAAAATCGATCATCACGTCTTAGTCACCTAAGGACCAAATAAGTTCGTTCATTTGGGTTGAGAATATTTGCGTCCTAAGCATCCCTGTACTAATCAACAGGTGTCTCTTGTCCACGTTATTATCGATTAATATGCACATAAGTACAAAAACTTTCTATTTCGGAGATGACGTAAAGCGCATACGACTGTGTACGTCTAAAATTAAACAAAACGAGAACACTACGACATTATGTGATTGTTCTCGAACGCAAGCTCCGACAAAAAAGCCAAATAAATCTTGATACCTCGCATTGCCTTTCGCGTGTTTATTACGAAAGCTTTATTTACAACACAATTTCAAATTTAAAACAGGATATACCTATGGTCGTTTCCCTTGTTTATGCGCCCAAGACTTTCGTTTGAATTGCATCAAATTTTAATGAAATGGTTTAGCGCCACAAACAACACTTGAGTTACAAAAATTTGTCAAAAGAGGTAAATTTACGAAGAATTTGTCAATATTGACAGAAATAATGTTACACTACTTGTGTAAGTGTAGATTTCAATTTTGTGTAAATTTACGTTTTTTGTTGCAAGTGCGTTGCTCAAAATTTTCAAAAATTTGACGATTCGGTGACGTATGGCTACGATCTAGATCGTCTTTTTTCAAAATCAAAAATTTCAATGGCAGTTTTTTAAACCATGATTATACAAATCAAATCGTCAAAAGTAAATTTTGGAAGGTCAAAATTTTGACGTACTGTGTCGTATTGTCGATTGCGCTCGAATGAAAGACAGCGTAAGTCTTATAAAAAATGAAACACACTTTATATCGTGCATTGTTTTTAACGAAATTTCAGCTGGCTATTGTACCCCGGGCTTTATTTACAATTTCGAATTTAAAACAGGGTATGTGGTCATTTCCCGTCGTTTACGGTCTGAAGACTTTTGTCACTAGGATTAAATAAGATTTTAATGAAATTGCCGCCATTTAACGTCAAAAGAATAATGCTTTGATGCTAATTATGCCATAACCAGTTTCACCATTGTGGTCCTTCAGCAGTGAAAAATTTATAAAAAATCTCACATTATTCACTGAATAAAAAGTCAATTTACATTTTTCCCCCAGGTTCGCATTTTTGAGTAAATTTGTGATTGTGGTTGACTTTTGTTACTTTACAACATATTTTCGACTTGGAACGGTTTACTGAAATATTATTTAAAATTTTGAAAAATCTTGAAGACAAATGTGTATCGAATGTTACCAGTTTGTCATTGTTGGAGATTTATCGTCGATTTGATTGCTTTTGTTGTGCTACATATTTACAATATCTCATAAAATTTTCATCCTCTGATAGAGATTCGTCGGATCGAAGCCAAGCGATGTTCTAAGTTCGAGCAAAATGGTCTATTGTTGAGACAGAGGGTGAACTACAATACTTCATTAGAAAAAACATCGAGGTTTAGTTTGACGCGAATTCGAGATTTACTAATTCGCTAGAACAAACGGTTTACCACGTTCGAGGGACGTTTGTTTGTGTTAATGAGAGAGACGCATATTCGATTCCGAGATATTTTATTGCGGCGCGAACTTTATTAATTCGTCGTGAATGTAACTTGATTTGTACGAATTTATATTTAGGCAACTTTGAAATCACCTACCGGAGTATCTAAAATTTTCTGCTAAATGCATCACAAAGCCGAGTCGTTCCAGCTTGTTGAAACGTTTTAAAAAAGCGGCTTCAAAAGTCGCATTTGGTAAAATATTTCTGATGAAATAAATTTTGGCATCGGGTTATCAAATTAAGAAAAGAAATAATTCCATTAAAAAATATTGATCACGTTATTGCGTCGTCATACCAACGGACAAGAGCAATCTAATTAGGGAAAAATGAAGTTTATAATTTCTCCCGCAGGGCTGCTTTTGCTTTGTTGCTGTATATATCTATATATATATCGATTTTACAAAATTTATGCATTCCTTTGTCTTTACAACTTGCGGTGTGAGCTCCTTGTTTTTAATTCGAAAACGCTGCAAGCACCAACATTGGGCTGTAATTTTGCGTCGGGTCGGTATTTTGTGATTAGGGATGGCTTCAGACTTTAATAAATAAAACCACGAAATAAGAAACTATTGGAAAACCAACTCGTTCGCGCATTTTGGGTGCGCATTACGGATAATGGACCTACGGTAATCCCCGCCAAGGTTTAAATGAACAAATTGAATTTCAGGGACCGTTTTTCCTAACACCGGGATTTCCTCTGAATTTATGTTTTTCGGATCTGACCCAAACGAGCGCTATTTTAATATGGCGCTTACCTTGGTTAAGTGTGCAAACTCACTGGTCCGTTAAACGTGCGCTACGCGCACTACATATTCACGACAGCATCCTTGACACGTAAATGCCTCTTTGTCCACCGTAATTCGAAAATCTAGCAACAATAAACACCACCTTTACCAAATACCAACGATCGAACAGCCCAGAGCTTGTCTTCTTGTTCATACCGCTTAAACACGACAATTACTTTTCCGTGATAGTTCAGACTCAGAATCACAAGACAACTGAAAGCGATTTCTCTTAAAAAGAAAAAAAAATATGCTAACCGTGAGACAAGACATTCACCTGTTGCGGGTGCTCCTTGTTGGCGGATTTTTTTGTAAATATGATAGATTTAAGGTGATGTCTGACACGATAAAAAGGGTCTTACACAAATACAAACAATCCCTTTCCCTTTATCGTGCTTTTTGAACGAAATTAAAAATGTACGCGGCAGTTTTTCGATAGACTGGAGGTGCGGATTAACCCGAGTGGAGTAAGTTTGATTAAAATTAATGTGATTCTGTTTCAGTCGTGAAGATCTTCAACGGGATTTTGATTGCATTTTGGTTAATTGTAATTAGTCTTAAGAAATTACTATTAGGGGTTATAGATTAGTGAATTTAACCTTTATTTTAGCCAGCTAGAGATAACTTGCGAGCCGCTGAAGCTAGCGTTGAAGATCTTTCTCAGCCTCCAACCAGCACTCTTCGTAGCCGGCGCCGTCTTGCCAATTCTCTGCTCTGGGTGGCCATCTTGTTTGCTGTGTGCTGGATTCCTTATGTCGTGTGCCAATTCTGTGGAGAACTCGGAGTCACTGCTCCACCACCGACTGTCCAACGCTACAGCTTATTCCTCGGTCATATTCACTCGGCATTTAGTCCCATTTTGTACTGGACTCTGAACCACCAATGGCCGCAACGTCCATGCCGTTTCCGTTTTCCTGCTCTATACAGAAGCGCGTCCTCTACAAATGAAGCTGCTCTCGGACCATTCCACCCCCGACTTGTACGTCCACCGCCAATTCGTCGTCGGTCTTCCCACTATCTTTACTGACTATCAATCTGTGATTACTTGGCCTCACTCGGAGAACTACCTCAGGATACAGAAATACATATGTCTTCTTACTAAAATTCGAAATAGTTGTTGACTTTCACTTGCCACGTTGTTTCGAAATCGGTTGGCAGAGACGGATATTAATATTTTGGCCGTCTGCGCTGATTTTCGGAATGAGTGTTAAGCGACTTAACATGGTATCACTTTACAAACGTTTCTCGATTGGTCCAACTGATATACATTATCACAACTTAAATATACAAAATATTTTCAAATTGACGTTTCTATAAAAATGTTTCAAAAATAATATTTCGAAAATGGCATCCCAGGACAGTATATCCGAAATATTTCAAAAATAATGTTTCCAAAATACATTTCCAAAACAATATTTCTAAAACAATAGTTCCGAAATAATGTAGTAGTCCCAAAACAATATTTCTGAAATATTTCCAAAAATAGCATTTCAAAAATAATATTTCCAAATATGTAACACTAGTATAATTAATGTTCGACGTTAAATACATTGATGGCTCTTTCTTTCTGTGGTAATTAGTGGTGCTTATATATCGTCGAATCTATTTTCGAATTCTTTAATCGGTGGAATTATAGATGTTGTAACTCTCTATTAAATGTGATGGTTTCAATCTCTACTAAAATCACGCTATCACGCTAAGACAGTTCAAAGGAAAATCTATAAAACTATCACATATGTTAGAATTTATTTTATATAAAAAACTATACGAGGCAAAGAAAGAATCAATTATATATTTATTTTGTTAAAAATATATGTTCTATCTACAGATTATGTAATGGAGTTGTTAGATTTAAACAGTCGAATAGGATATATTTTTGTTATCGTTCCGAAGGAATGAAGGAAATTAAAGGAGAGAGACGGAGTGAGACAGATAAACAGAAAGAGAGAGCGACGGCGGAGAGAGAGAGAGAGAGAGGGAGAGGGGTGACAATGAAGTCGGTTTACATTACTTTTACTCTTCTTATGGCTTATAAGAATTTCAAATTCAGCCTAACAAATCAGCTCTTCTCAAATGCCACATTTATACTTAAATGTTTTATATGTAACTAAATATCTGGATGTCCGAAAAAAAATATAACCGTCTTTTGTTTAGGTCTATGTTATGTTCTCTCTTACGGTAGATAGATAGATGTAAAAATATATATAGATGTTTCATGGAAATATATACATGTATTAAATTCAGGAAACCAAATTAAATCCAGTCTCACTATAAACATCCGGCTCTAAATTTTATCTGGAAAACTGTACTCGGACAAAAATTGTCTGACTAAATCCGTGAAGTTCAGCGCGAGAACTTGAAAAAAAAAGTGTTTCTCATGACGGACTTCATGGATTTAGATAGACCACAAAGCTCGCTCAACAGCTCACTACTAAAGAAAAACTAATCAAAACAGGAATTTATTTGTTTTTTTATCAATATTACTAAAAAATTCACCATGGTAAAAGAGGCTTTAAAAGAAGATAAATCTTGTTGTAGACACATAAGAGAGTTGTAGAAAGTATACGACGAAAAAAATGATAACCTATTGGTTTTGTGGTGTATTGATTTTAAAAATTATTCGTGTTTTAAACTGATATAAGCATAGGCGCCGACTCAGTGACTGAAGTATGACACTTATTTGTTTAAAATGTAACAAAAGTGTACAAAAGTGAAATCAATTCATGATAGTTTTTCGGGTTGCAACCGTGTAAATTTTTTTTTGTGCTCAATGTTTCGAACACTTTCGTAAGTGGTATCTTCAGGCAAAATAACACGGTAACTGACATACCCTAAGTTACCATGTTCTTTTGCCTTATTTAACCCTGCCCCTGAAGATGCCACTTACAAAAGTGTGCGAAAAGTTGAGCCCAAAAACTCAATTTAGACGGTTCCAGCCCGGAAAACGATCATGTATTGATTCCGATCGTGCAGCCTCCGAAATTATTATATTTCTTTCAGTTGCGATACACAGGAAAAAATGATAAAAGACGGTGCCTATGTTTGTAAGAGTTGTACACTATACCTGCCACTGTGGTTACAAAATAGGTGTTTCGTGAATGTCATTTATGTTGTAGATGAGAATGTAAAATAGAGTCCGACAAATAGTGAACATTGGCTTTGTGTTTCCAAAATCCTCATTGGAAGCTGCTGACGATTTACAGCGTTTGCTGGTTCAGATTGCCTATCAAAAGTTTTGTGAAATTGTTCACATAGAGTCTTTAAGGCAATCAGGGGTACACATTGTTTGGTGGCTTCCGGTAAACACATTGTGAATGTTCACTACTTGGCGGACGCTACTTTATTAGGAAATGTTTTAGGTACTAATGTCTTTCGTGATTGACAATGTAGTGGTAATTTACATTTCTTGGAGACGACCAACTTGTTGTCATTAAATGGTGTTATACTTACGTGCCTTTTTGTTTTTGAATTCAGGTACTATTGTATTCTTCTATTTCTCGATATATTATTGCTCTGTATTCGGAAATATGAATAAACATTGTTGTTTGAACGTATATTTGAAAACTGGATTGTGTGTATGTAAATTATATTCGTATATGAAAAGTCGAAAGAAAATCCGGAGCTCTAGTTATTACGTGCTCAAACTCCATAAACGAGAGTTTCCCATCCCCATCCACGTCAGCTTCCTCGATAACTTTTTCAATAATTTGCTGTCTGTCCTCTGGAGACAGCTCCTGACGCATGAGCAGGACTAATGCACTGTCTAAATCCTCGGTGCCAATGTGTCGATCATTGTCAAAATCTATAAACAAACGTCAAAACACTCGCATTCCATATATCGACTTACCATAAATTTTAAAAGCGTAATACACTTTTATGTCCCTGGGTGCCTGCTCGCTGAAAACCGAAAGAAGATCTAAAATGTCCTCAAACGACAAATTACCCTTCCCGTCACGAGAAAATACTTCACAAATGCGTTGTTTGAAAGGATTTTCCTGAAATTAACACTTTAGCGGGGTGATTAATATTCAGATTCAAATTTACTCGTAACTCTGGAAGTTTTTCGACGACGTCTTCTAAAGGCACTCTAATTGTGACTTGCTCATTTTGTCGCATTCTCTTCGGAACTAAATCGGGTCGGATTTCTCTGAATTTTTTATGCACTCTTAAACGCCTAAACGTAAACATTTAAAACAACAGCATTTACATTTACCTCAAAATTTCTTTTCTTGTGAAAAACGTGCAGTCCTTCGAATGGAAATAATCAGTATTTACCATGAAGTGAGAATTTCATTTACCTGGTAATTCTCCAACTGTTGTTCGGTAAATGTTAATAGTTTATTTCCCATTGCAACCAATAAACTAGTTATGTGGTAATACAACAATTTCAACACAGCTACATGCACACAAGAAACAAAAGAACTTCCAGGGTGAGACTCTAGTTAAATATGAAATGGTTGCCGTGGTGACTAAGAGGTGTGGTTACTAGTTAAGCAATTTATGTTATGAAACATTCATCGATTTTTGCTCCATTTCTAGAAATTTGAACCGAGACCCCAATTTTTGCTGGACGCATGAAAATTACACCCGCATCTGTTTCCCTGGAGTACGTCATAATTACTTTCAGTTATAATCAAAAAAACTTCCGTCCCTATTTACGACCCAATTAAAATTTAAGGCTACAATTTTTAAAAAGGCTATTACATTTTTTATTGATTGATACGCTCGTTGAAGCTTCTGCTGTCATTTGCTTAAAAATACAACGTGGATGTGGAGATAAGACAAAAAAGGGGTAGTAGCAAGGGAATATAACGGAAAGCTTTTTTAAAAGCTCCCCAATTGCCTTGTTCAATAATGTTTTGGAAAAAAAAACACAATGTAGATTTAGGATAATGAACACATCTGGCATTTCCCTGCAGCCACACATACGTAGATACATATAATATATGAAGTTTTGTACAATAAGGAAGACTCACTCACTCCATTCTAGTTGTTTCCTATCTTGGAGTTACTAATTTCAAATAATTAATGGAGCAAAGTTTATATAAACATTCCATATTAGTTCACTGTGCTTACACTTATGTTTATCCCATTAACTAACTGAAAATTACTTGTGGCAAAAACCCAGAAGCAGTCTATACAATCTGGACTAGCATGAAAATAATTTGAAAACGACAAAAAAACAAGGGGAAGGTGAGACAAGAAGGAGTACTTAATGGAATGTTTTTGCTATACACTAAAACCTATTTCTGAGGGACGTCACACTGCTTGCTCTTGACGTGGTCTAAGAAAGTGCGTAAACACCAAATAAGCAGGAGTTGTGTTGAAAATACACGGGTAAGCGATTTATAGCAGGCTCGCAGTTCCAATTACCACATAAATAAATGAACTAAAGAACGACGACCACAACTATACCAAATCGATAATTATATTTCTGATCCTGTTTATACGTTAACCTAGGACAAAAACGCATGAAATAAGGAAGATCCGAGTTTCAAGGAGACATACCGTAAAGTATTATTGCTTAAGTTCACGTTTTCTTGCCGTTTCGTGACTCCAGTAGAAGAAAACGGTCTATTATACACGTAATTCTACATTACCGAACCAACTCCTTCCTATAAAGATACATTTTATTTATCCTCTCCAGAAAGTTGCTGACGTCATTTTCGTTGCTTACATCACATTTCTTAAAAAATTAATAGTTGATATTGTCTCAAAAACATGGAAGTACTGACGATTAATTTAACTTCCGATGACGCATCTCAAAAGTTAGCTAATTACTAAACTAGTGCCTTATACAAAAAAGAACTTTAACTTTTAAAGGCACTTCAGAACTTTAGATGGAATAAAACGTTTTGGAAGACGTGAAAGGAGGTCAGGTCAGGACAAATCAGGTCAGATCAGGTCAGAACAACACATCTTGATGGTCATAAATGATCTTAACGAGTTCTGTTCGAAGACCTATGAAATTTTTCAATGCTGATAGATTAACATCAAAATGTAATTTTTGCAGAAACGCAAAAAGGGATATCATTCCAATTAACTTTGGCATATTGTGCTTAAAACATAGAAAACATACGGGTGTATATATTATTCGTAATTATTTTTAGTTAAATACCCAATTTTACTTTTTTGTTTCTTAATTGTCTATTTAAATTTACAAAAACTAGCTTCTACTTTATAAGAATTAAATAAATATTACGACCCTCAATAAAATAAGTTGAAACTGCAGCCAAAGTTTTTGCCAACACTAACATTGTGGTCTTAATTTGGATCTATAGGACCACATTAGATATTTCACTTTCTTTGGTCAAAAGTCTTCAGTCTGTAGTAAATTTTCTCATTAATAATGCCAATCTTTACTTTTTTTAATTCAGTTCAGTGAACTTTTCACATTTACTTTTCAACACAGAGATCTTCAAAAAAATACTGGATGAAACATTTTTTTATTTTTTCCAAAAAAACAACTAGTATCGAACTTGTTCATTGTATCATAAATTATGGTTTCACAAAGTACAATAAAAATGTGGTCAACGACAGGTAGAAGTAAGAATCTGGATTAAAACCACGTATGCGAAATTTAAACAAAAATTGATGGAGAAAACACGTGTACTTGACGTTAGTCTGAGCTAACATGACGACACGATTTCTACTTTGGCTTAAGTGAAAACATCACCAGTAGATGCCGCTGCCTGTCAACCCATAGCATTGTGTTAGCGCCATATTTAAATGAGAATACAATGAACCCGAGTGCCATTATACCTGTCCCTACCCTACCTACTTAATTTAACATGTGTTGGACGATTAGAGAAGGTAGGAGGGAAATAAAATTGCAGATAAAATTGTACAGTTGTATAACAAATGGATTCACTACACAGAAAAACATTATACAACTCCCTCTTACATGTTATCTACGTAAAAAATGCCCGAAATTATATACCTATATAAGCCAAACTGAAAATGCACCTCGTGGCATCAAAATTGAAAACCAGAATTCAACAAATTTAAATAAAATAAAGTAAAAACCACAAGAGACATCTAGTGAATAATATACAAACCGAGATAATTGTAAGTTCTACACATTTTGAAAATGGTTTCTACTAGACACGAAGTTTTATCTGAATACATTTTAAATGTATGGAAGAATAAAGTATTTAGCATTATTTTTTATTAATTTTCCAGCATATGATGACTTTATTTATGATAAAGATCATGTTTACAGGCGTACTCATGAGAGTTGGTCATCTTTTTGTAATCATACGAACTAAGTAATAAACAGATAAGGAAACTTCAATAATGTTAAGGTGTTAACCCCCTTAAGTGAGCGCCATCTAACCATCGTTGTCAAAAGTTGCTGCTCTGTTTTGTAATAGTTGGCTGACATTTTAACAGTAATCTTGACGTTATGATATTTTATTATTTTTACTTTCAATGACTGTTTAGGTTCTATACAGATGCAACTAATTGTTATACAATGGAGTCAAGTTTCCTTAAAAATGTTCAAATTTTGGGTGGCGCCATCTGCCGGTTTAAATTTGAACTATTTGGACGACAACAAAGATTTCAACAACATGCGATGCTAAAATTTTGAATACATATTAGACCCAATAATTTTGTTTTATTTGTAATATTATTAATTAAAGACATTTATAAAAAATAAATGTATTTGATTAAAAAATAATTAAAAAAAACCGTCTCGTGTGAAGCTGCCTAGATCTGAATTAACTATTTTTAAAGCAATATTTAAACTAACATATTTTAAGTTAGTAAACTTTAAGAAGTTGCTCAAATTCTAGATCTAATATATGATCAATAATTTGAAATATGTACAGGTAGTTTTTTAAGATGTGTATGTAGTTGAAGTGTGGCGAACCAGGTGGCTGATAGTTAGGAAGAGTTCAACCAACTTTGCTCTTAAAGTTCAGCGTGCTTGTGATAGATGGCGCTCTTTAGAACTTTACAAATCAATGTTTGAAGTGTTTACAAACTTCGGTAAGTATCGCGTCGCTAAGACTTCTGGATTTTAAACTGTGGTTACTGAAGAATATGTATGTAAAAATTCTCCATAGTTGAATTTTTTTCAATATAAAACTGTTCCCTTGACATTTGGCAGGTAATAAATAACAGTCAAATGAGAAACAAATTTTATTGCTCAATTTATTGTAATAATTGATAATAATTATTTAAAACAAATTAGAAGGAGTGATATACGAGAAATTGTACAGTACATCATACATAAAGATGGTGATGATTGGTTTGCGAGAGTTGAGTAGAAAATATCCCGAAAGAGAAGCGCAGGCCATTACTAAAATGGGGAGAGCGGCGGTAATGCCAATATAATGAAACTACTATGATATGTAGGCATCACTGTCTTTTTAAGGCTGATAGGACCGACAGATGGAGCCAACCTGTTCGGCGATATTTACACTCAACGAAATCATATATTGCAGCGTAATTAATTACTAACCGTCTTCCATGCAATGGCCACGCTTATTACCTACTTATTTATAAATCTAATTGTAATTAATAAATCCGAACTAAGATACTATCACATGAACGTGGCAATTTTGGCGAACATATTATTATTTTTAATAGAACATTAACAAACATGTGAACGTAATAAATAATGACGTTAAAATAAGTACACAGTAGACTGGCGAATCGAATATGTCCAAAATGAACTAAAGTATGTATATATTATATAGGAATAGGAAAACGTACGTACTACTTTTATACATTGATATATGATTTACTTTAGATAAATGATATGGAATTAATTTCCCCTCGTTTAAAGATAGAATATAATTAGCACGAATGCTTAACGATAATAATTTACAATATTGCTTACTTTACATCACTATATGAGCGCAACGATACTTTTTTTTTAACATAAATAATACGAGCACGTCAGTGCGTCTACTTCGCTTCTTTGAGTTTGATTCCCGTCCGGCAGCGCACACATAGCAACTGATATGCTAAAATAAACTGATCGTGCGTGTATTAACAGTTCAGTATCTTACTAAAAACTTTTTGGCTATGCCAAGTCCATCAAGTAACAAATAACCCTGTATTAATAAAGAACTCAAGATTCTATACGCTTAGTGATTAGGTATACAACATTCGACAACCTTTAGGTCTAAACAATTATTAACAGTATGTAAACACAGTCCCATTCGTAGACTTAACAGTTCTATATTTATACAGAAATATACAAGATCGAACGGAGTTCATATTTTTCTTCTTTCAGACGTCCCGCTACTTCCTGTTGAACCAATTCAATTTTCCTAATTATTGTATACTAAAAATGAGCACAATTCTGATGTCATTCTGCCGAAATAAACTACTACCAACGACACTTCGCGCACTACGCGTCTAATATATTCGAGTCGGTATGTTCTGAACCCATTGTCAAATCTTCGGCCATATTCTCTGGCTGCTGCTCTTGATCTACGTCATCGTACTCCGAATGAATTTCTCTCTTGATCACGTGGTGCATTTGTTCGGTTTCCCGAGTTACGTGATGATCCTGATTTACCATACTTTCTTGTTTGATGTGTATACCCCCATTCAACGGAGATCTATCATAATTATCACAGATTTTTCATTAGCTAACTCAGAAACAGGGCCCTATTTACCTACAGGCACGGCACGCGCGAACAACGAACAGTTTTTAATGACGCGCATGCGCACAAATTTAATTTCACGAATACGTACGAAAGAAAATCAGTTGCCGTTTGAACAATTAGCTAAAGTTACGAGTGAGTCGGGCGCCAGTTTTTTAATTCGTAAATATGGCCTTGTGGGTGAATATCGGACGGCGACGTCATCGCGTGCGTATAACTGGACTTACCTCATGTGAGGGTCATGTACTGGAGATTCGGATCTGTCTCTAGGTCTGCTCGATAGTGATGGTGTCCCCGTCAGAAATGACAGATTGTTATCTTCTATTAACGAAGCCTGCATAAACTACACACAATTATTTACAGCGGATGTTGTGGAAGATAAAATATACTAATACCTGTACGTTCGCAGAAAGATGATCGCCGTACAACGTTGGACTGTGATTTAATGTCGGACTTTTAGACGTCGTACCCCTGTACATAACAGCACATTAAATTTTTGTTCGATTTTCAAGAAAGACGGACATAGAATATTAGAAAAAATAACGAACATTAAGATTGATAACGATTAAGCGAAAAGTGAAAAGTACTCACCGGTGCAGTGGGGGTCTCCAAAATGGGGTATTATGGCTTTTACTTTGATAATTGAAATATTGAGTAAGGTTTTAGTTACGTAAATTCAAAGCTCAATATTTCTATTTAAAATAGAACTGATACAAGTGAAAAATTTTTGTTAATGCGTTCCTGTATGATTTAATTTTATTACCTCCATTGACGATCCTCTATGGCCTGGTAACTGACTGTCTTACCAAGAGAAAAATATAAAAGAAGTTAAAAAAGATCATACAGGAACTATGAAAAAGTAGTAAAACGTGCAAGATTTAAAAACATTTAGAAATTTTAAAAAGATGTAAAATGAGTAAAAATTATCTATACAAATATACCTGTTCGATTATACTTATCTATATAGTTCCGATTTTGTAGTAACATTTCACATTCATTCAAAACATTTAGATGCAATTAATCTTTGTCCATGTAGCATTTTTCCAATGCTATGGGATAAAATAATGCTCAAAAATGCTACATGTATCTTTGGCGCTACCCAAACATTCCATAAGCCGGCTCAACTACATTCGAATTTTTCTATGATCTAATATTGCTCTCGCAGCCGCTTGTATCGCTCGTGCATGAGGGGAGAATGCTTAGGATATTCCAGGACCAGTGTTGCAGGATAAATTTTGGATACATATTTAAAAAAAAGTAAATGTTTTTTGTTTTTTGGAAAAAAAAAATCGAGACTGAGCACGTATGACTAAAATTTGGACTAAATCAAAAGTCTTTAAACCGAAGGCGTTAGGTGATGACCACAATTTCAGGTTATATATTACTCAACATGCTGTTAAATTGGTCTTCCACCACATGTAGTATCAAAATGTGAAAACTCTTGACTGCGTTACACCCACATAGAAAATTGATATCACTGGAAAAACTTCGTTGGTAGTTACGACCACTAAAGTTATGAAGCGGCAAAATATTTGGTTGTGTAGTACTGATTGGGGATAAGGTATGCGGCACATCCTACCGCGGTGTTTTTCTAGCGGTACGAATTTCATGTGGGACTATTATTAAAATAAACCTCAAAAAACGTCTTTAAAAATCACTGGAAAGGAAAGGTACTTGCATGCATGCTGTGTAGGCAAGCATTGAAGCGTTGCTTGATTGTGTGTGTGTGTCTTGCTTCGGATCTCTATGGTTGATTAAGTTTGTAAAAATAAGTAAATCAACAATTCAAAAAAAAAAAAAAAGAATTATATGGTACTACCCTGAAATGAAAAGCACAGTAATCTAAACTATATGGGCTCTATCACAGTCTAAAGCTGAACAACACGTCGAGTGTTAGTTATTATGATCCTTGCTGATTATGGTACAATCTGTTGGAGGTACGACCAATAGTGGAACGAAAATGAAAATTTCTTGAGACGTGAGTGAGCACAATCAGCAGAGGATGGAGCAATCAAGCAGAGCCGAGCAGACAGCAGCACACGCATCACGGCACGACGCGCATCGGCGCGTCGCGTTCAGAATGGTGCTTACTGTGCGCAGTGGGGTGGAGTGGGTGATGGGGTTGGGTCATATTTCCGCGGCCGGCCACGCGACAGGTGGCGGCGCTTCACGAATTCAGCATCATCCACCATCCAGAATGACCCAAAGTCGTCTTCGTAGCGCACAAAACACTTGTGGAGTGACAGATTGGTGCGTATCGCGTTCTATACACCCAGACCCAAGAAAGAGAAAGATAACAATCAAGTAAGGTTAAGGTTAGTCATTGGCGACACCTGGTGCGAATACCTTCCGGTCTCCTGCAGTTAGTCGCCCAAGCCTGCGGCTTGACATGCTGTTACTGAACCGGCCAACACAATCATACACCACTCTTTCTACCACGCAAGCCACTCTCTGTTAATATATCTATATGTATGTATATATAAAAAGAGAGAAAAAGATTTTTAAAGAGATTAGAAAAAGATGTAAAAAATCACAAAACACACAATGTACAATGGAAAAAAGTCAAAATGGTGGGCCTCGGTGACGTACCCGACGACTGGTTGGGTTAACGGGCCCGAAGAACATCTCTGCGGCCTTCTCTTGTAGAATTCCACTTCATCCACCGTCCATACGGCACCCTTTACGTTCTCCACGCGCATGAAACATTTGTGGAGAGACAGGTTGTGGCGCACTGCGTTCTAACAACAAATCAAACACCGCCAAATAAACAACGCGACCTATAGCACAACTCGGCAAATTTGAGACCGGAGAAAACTTAAAGAGCCTACACAATTTAAATCACATCACAAAAGTTAAACCTTCTATATCTTCAAAGCAAAATTACAAATGCAATAACACTAATCAGTTAACGGTAAAGGCTCGAGTACACTTATCGATATCGGACAACGTAGGCACAAGTCGAGAAATAAAAATTTTGAGTCGGGCGCCAGTTTTTATACTTGCAGGTTATACTCGAGAAAACACGTTGACATTATTGGTGCCGTAACCATAACCATGCAAAGATAATTAATTTTCTCGTTTTCATGAAGTACCATTAAAAAAGATTTCGGTGGGATCTTTTTTTTTTGACGATTAAAAAAATTCTCATCTTGCATTGATATCACCAAGTGTGTAGTAGAAAATAAATACAGATTACGTGTTATAGCAACGAGGTATACTAATCACTTTTTTGAAAACGTCTGGACAAAAATCAGCTTTCGAAAAATACAATTTTTGGCGGCAGAAATTGAGTATATTATGGAACTGGTCATAGCACTGGAGACACTTCGGGAGTGGCGCCTTCCCGATGCAATATAAAAGTATTGATAAAAAAGGAAAACATATGGTAAAGTCAGTATGCTGCGTCCGATGTCGTCAAGTGTGCGCGTACCTTAAAGTAAGCACCCGGGTTGAATGTACCTTGGAACGATGCGATCATGTCAAAACACGGACACATCTTTACGTGCCTTTTACAATGTTTGTGATGATGAATCACTAGATACAAAGTTGACGGATTTTGAGCAAAATGTAAGTTTTAACTTTTGGGACGCAATTTGTTGAACGACTAAAGCAAATTTGAGTGATTTGGCATTTTTTTACTTCAAGTAGGTGGAGCAATTTACACTTTGCACACACTCTCACCACAAACTCGCTCTATAATTTCAAATACACAACTTACCTTGGACTGGAAGACGGATCATGATGCCGATGATGTACTATTAAAGTAGATATGTCTAAGTTTTAAAAAGATAGTATAAAAATTTAAAATCTCCTATCTTGAAGTAAGGTAGTTTTAAGTGCGAATGTTTAATGCCTTAGTCGTTCATTGTTAGACGCTTACGTTTTAAGTCCGTGATATTTTAACTGTATTGCCGAATTTGTACTGATTAAAAATATTAAATACTTATTGTTTGTTCTTTAGAAAAATCGTGACTGCAACTAAATTTAAGAACGTTCATGCAAGCTATAAGCATTGTCAATATCCTGAAAACAATCTGAACACACAAAATATTTTACCAAAAGTTACGTAGAGTCAATTCCTTTTAGACTATTAGAAAATCATTTAAAATAAAATAGTTATTTGTTAAAACAGCAAATTAATCATCGAATGTTAATGACGTCGTTAACATAAGTTAAAGTCAGAAGTGAGACCTTCCGTCAACTAAAGTGATAAATTTCTCCGAGGAAATGAAATTAGAAAAAAATAAAACAAAAAAGCTACAATACCTTCCAAGTCGCAGCGTTTCTTCGGAAATAGCAAAAAGTGTTCTGGAACCAGTTGTATATTTCGTTCAACGTCAACTGCTTGTCCGGAGATTCAATAATGGACTGAAACGTACGACAGTCAAAACCACGTTCCTTAGTAAAAATGACTTGAATACCTGACGTATTAAAGAAGCGTAAGTGAAAGGCGGTCGCACATCTGCATTTTTGTAAAACTCCCTATTCCGCTGAATTTCTGAAAAAACCGAATCGCAATTGTGTCAAAAAGCCTCTTATAAATCGTCGAAATTCTCTTTTTTAGTAATTCGTAAGCAACAATACCTTGTTGTACATCAAGCCCTGCCCTTTCGAGCATGTATGGTAGACCTATAAGGCAGCGTGTACAGAACACATGTACTTAGTAATAAATAAAAATCACGATACAAAAAGCAGTTAGAAGAAAAAATTACCTCCCGCTAAGGAAAGCGCTGATTTATCGCTTAACCGCCTCCGTATCGGACCGGCAACATTTGCTGCAGGAGAATGAAGCACTGGGGATCGAACGGCGGATACCATGGGACCTATGGATACTGGTGGCTGAGGTAAAGATGCGCTCACAGGCATTTTCGGAGGTGTGACAACCGGACCGTCTTTATGGGGTTCCGGGGAACCCAGCTGTTTTGACAAGTGGAGATGATGCATCATAGCCTGCAAACGATCTCGTTCTTTTTGCAGCTGAAGCTCCAATTGGGACACAACTTGCATCTGAACGCGGGCTTGAGCGGTCGATCGGTCGTCTAACGTATGTTCTGTGTTTAAATGCCTGAAAAGTCGACGACGACGATGACCTCACTGTCAAAAATTACGCACTTTCTGTTGTACGCATAAAACTGCGTAACACTATTTCTTAAAACAAGGTACCTAATAACCAAAGTCTAGGAAAATGTCCCAGAAATAGGAAGAGAGCTTAGTCAAAATCGTCAAAAATTCCCTACAGAATCTTTTGGATCGAAAATTGTTATTAAATAATGTTTTTGGACTAACAATTCCTTCATGAGTTACGCTTTTCCAAATAGGTAAGTTCCAAAAGTCGTTTTTTTTTTGGATATAAATGAGAGATTTTATTAAATAGGTTCAGTCATTTTTGATTATCTCATCATTTTAAATTTATCAAATTTTGTGACATCCGTGTTGAAAACTCGTTTTATCAGTAATTCACTAATACCTCCTACTTTTGGGTTACCACTACCATTCTATTTTCGTCAGAGGGATTAGCAATTTTATAACCCCCAACAATGTGTGATCTGTGTCGCAATTATTCCAGATTATTTAATCAATACTAATAAAAATAAAGACAATAACACTAAAAAGTATCAAAACAATAAACAAAAATTTGGTATATGACGCTTTCGTAATAATAATAATAATAATAATAGTGGCTGCACACCTATATAAAAAGGGCTGGTTTTTTCTATTTTTCAAAGTTGCATGCCAAAAATTTTGCATATATCGTCTGATTAAAAAAAGCTTTGAACAAGCAGTTTCATTAAAAAAAATCAATGGTGAGGTTTCTAAAACAGTTGATTTTAGTGATCTGGTTGCCAGGTTAATTGGAAATTTTCGATGAGACACCCTGTATATTATTCCATTAAATCTTCAGGGCAAAACTGTACATACGTATATTTTTTAAAGTATTTACGGATCATAACATTTCTGATATTCGTTTTCGCGTTCAGTTGGGATATTTGTCTGGAATACTGTTTCTCTCACTCGTCTGGAGATTTGTACGGTGGATCAAAATTGTTTGGATTGTATTTTAATAACAGTATTATTTTTATTTTGTCCCGTTTATCAATTAATTGCGGTTTTAACTTATTTGTGTATTACTTACTTCTACTTCCGCCGAAATATAAATTCAGTCCAATGATAGTGTAGGTAATAGTTAACCTGGAGGTAACTTTTTACGAAAATTGAGTTAAATAATAAAGCAGTGTTTCACTTTATTTTCTCTTCGCCAGATTATACTGAAAAATAATAAAAGTGCGAACAAAAATTGGACGACTGGCTACTTTTATGTTTTCTCGACGTTTCATGACTTCGAGTACAAAAATGGATCTCTCGTTTCCGTCTGTCCCTCTGTCTGCCGTCTCTACGGATTTTTATTAGAGAGATAATGTCCGAAACTAGTGGACCGATTGTTGTCAAATTTTATGTGTATAGGAGTAGATGGTTAAACGCTAACCAAAATTTGGATAATCATCCCCAACATCCAGATTATTATAATTCTGCCGAAAATGTTCTTTCTGTTAAAAAATTCAAATTTTATAACAATATTTTACAATTTAACTTTGAAATTGTAAAAACCGCATGCTGTGAAATCTTGCAAATATTTTACGGTTACTGGAAGCATGGTAAATCGTTAACCAAAATTTATAGGTCATCAAAAATTAGTGTGGTTAATCTTATCCTCTGCAACGAGGAGACAAAATCAATTCTTTTAAACGCTGATGTTTGTAATCTGAAAGTGCTAATGTCGGATTTTTTCGAAGTTATAAGTTATCACAAAATGAAAATCGCAAAACCAAATTTTATACTTTTTTTAAAGAAGCGGGATTTGTAGGACTATACTTCAAGGGCGAGGGAAATTCTGTCTAAATAATTTTAGACCAATTTTTTCAGCAGGAGAATCGAGATAAAAATCTCATTGTTATCACTTTAATCCGCTTTGTGGTAATTTTGGCTTGGAGAATAATATACAGGGTGTGTTATAATGAAGTGCTGAAATTTTGCAGAGTATTTTCTGGAAGTCAAATGACCAAAAAAATGATAACAAACGTGTCGTATTCTGTTTGATGAAAAAACTATCGTAGTTTCAAAATAATCTATCAACTTAAATCACAATATTGAAATTTGGTATAGGTATTTGTCGTGTTTGTAATGAAGGTGTAACCTGTATAAACTACTCTTTGATTAAAACTGTTGGAAAAAACCATTAAAGAGAAAGCAGTAAATAAACACCGGGGTCTGTCGAATGATTCACGAATTGATCGTATTTGTAATTAGAAAGTAGCAAAGCGATCAAGTGCAGCCATAAAATCATTCCTGTCAAAATCAACATTAATTCTGGTTTATATTTTAGCATTTTACGAGGTGATTAATATGTAAAAGAAAGGGGATAGAGTAAACCGTCAAATTACAATATTTTGTCGTCGTCTCGCAACAAAAGAACGGCGACCTGGAATAAATTAGAAGCGGCATCGTGGTTTAAAAACTCTAATTACGCTATGTTTAATTAATATGCAAGGCGTTTGATCGCAACGTTGCTGGATTTAAATGTTAATACCCCGACATGACTTTATTACTTCCTTCGTCGAGCTCTACGGAAATGACGCTTTTTTAGGTTTTTACTCACTTGATAAATGCTTGCAGGTCTTCGCAGATTATTTCACAACCTGGCCACTTGCAAACCCCATGACCGTACAAATGATGCACCCTATCCGGCGTCGTGCTTGTCCTTTCGAGCTTATCGTCTAGCGGCGTTTCTTCTCTACTCGATCGACCAGGAGCCACACCTAAGAGGCCTGGTGAACCTTCTAATCAAAATTAAAGAAACAGGAGAAGATATTCTAAACATCAATAATTCCGCTCGTTTATCACCATGCTTACCACTTAGCTCCGACTTGGCGTTGGACACGTGCTGTTCGTTAAGCTCTTTCCAAGGACTCATAACTTCTCTGGAGTTCAGTCCTGAAGAAAAACAAACGCGAATGCATCAATCAACATTGTTGAGAATTTGAAATTGAAAACGGCTTCACGTGCGTTTAAAACCGATTGGTCGTCAAACGGGTTCCAGCTTGATAATAAAGGACGGGGGGTTGACGGAACAAGGATAGACAGGAAAGATGGGCAAGTGCCAATAGTTTTAACCGCACGTGAAATCCGTTGTAGTAGCCACGGTCGCCTCTGGAAAATTCATTTCGTCGGTCGGCGGTGACAAAAGAAACCTTCATCAATACTAGTAATTAATTATTTTACGTGGCATTGCCCAATTTGAGGGGTCGATTACTAAACGAGGGTAAATGGACAGGCGGGATCGGGAAATACATACCTTGCTGGAACTCGCCGACTGTCCAATCTTCTTTTTACAAAATCTTGAAGCCAAATTTTTCTAATTGAACACTACTCAAATTGACTCAATATTAAACCATGCATTACTCTTAAATTCCTTTCGCTATGTACTTTACTTTGAAACGTAAGTATATTCAATGTTAGTAAATAGTTAAAACTACATATTGAAGTATGACTATGAAAAACTCAACAACTCTTATTATTTTATTAACTGAACGTGAACATCGTTGCCGGATCCTCAGCGTCGCTTTATTCATACCTTGTGCTTGACCAAGCATGAGAGGTTGCATACCCATGCCTTGATGCACGACATATTGTCTTTGCATCAACTGAAGTTGTTGAATGAGCTGCTGTTGTTGAAGTGCTAACTGTTGCAACGAACCAGAAGCTTTCTTCTTGTCCGTGCTTTGCAAGATGTGCGTTTGTTGTATGAGATTCAACTGAAGTTGTTCTTGCAACTGTTGCATTGTCTGTTCGATTTGCTTCTTCCCTAATTCTGCTAATTGATGTTGCTGGACATACATTAATATTGAAGCGTCGAAATCAACGACAGCACTAGTCAACACATGCATTACCTGATGTTGTTGCTGCTGCAACAACGAATGTTGTTTCATCAACGTCTGCAACTGCGTCGGATTTAAAACATGCTGTTGAAGTAGTTGTTGCATGTGGTGAAGATTTGACGCCGACGATGACAACATTTGAGGTCCTGGTGTTTGTGACTGAATTAACAATAAATAAGTGTCAAAGTGTCAGTTGAGTGACAATCGTTGAATACCTGACTGACAGGAGGTACAGTCGCGTTGAGATTTTTTTGCGGGTCAGTTGAAGGTGGAGGAGAATGGTCCTGCACCCGGTGATCAGAACTGGGACTGGCGCTTCCATTACCTTTAGCGTCCCTTTCTTGTTCCCAACTTCGTTCCAAATCTAGCTGCTGATGTTGTTGTTGCTCCTTAAGAACCTTTTCCAAGGAGGCAGCCTACAGCACGAAATCGTACGTGACAACGTCAACTAATTAAACTAAAGCCTAACAAAAAGTAATCCTTACTCTCTTAAAAAGAATCGTGAAAATTCATATAAAGATCAATACAAGCGAAAATGTGCATGTTTTGGTAGTAAAGTCTGAAAGCGGTTCGTGCATGTGATAAATGTGATTGATTTTCCGAGCGCGGGATGGCTACGAACAGCCACATTAGGACCTCGGAAGCTATGTGTCTTGAAGCAATGGTCCGGTCATAATACCTGTACACCTTGGTTAAATATATGGTCTCTGCTCCACAAAATAATCTCACGGCATATACATACGTATATACCGGGATGACTAATTTAAAAAGGGCGGAGCTATAAATTTGGCGGATGCGCCGGTTCACTATAAACATTGGTAATAAGCGAAAGCGACAGGACAATATCCTTAAAGAATTGGCTGTCATTTGCAAGACGGAAGTGGTTAATTTTTACATTAGAACGAAACAGATCGGATAGGGTATAAATAAAAGAATATAATAAAGGAGCTGATGGAAAGTTGTGCGTAACGAAATAAAAAGGAGGGAATAATTGAAGAGAATCTGCACAATAAAACTTGTAGGGATGAACCGTATTGTTGTAATGGTAATTGAGAGATGTGTCCGTAAAAAATGAACGTCACTGGCAATCGCCAAATATCTAAATCACTTCGAATTAAGACCTTACGGAATGAGATATCGTTAACAAGGAGGGGAGGATCGGGGTCGGCAACATGCACAGTTAAACTATTCCGTCTTACAGACTATTGTCTATGAAGGCAGGCTGACTGCTAATATAATAAGCGTCCCTCTTCGACTTGGATTACAAACAGAGGGTCTCCTGTTCTGTTTTCCCCGTATTAATGATTCAATATCAATTAGCGGTATACTGAATTATATAAGCTCAATCTTGGAACAAAAAGAAAAAGTCGACTTATGAAAATTCGATGCGGTGCCAGCAATTTTGTAACTCCGTTTAATATTTTAGGGAGATATGGTTACGCATAAATGCATTCTCCTGTTTGATATCAAGCGCAGGAAGCGCAAACAAGCTTTATTTAGGCCTTTCCACGGGCGCGATGTCTTCAAATATGCAAATTATTATAATTAAAAAGTGAATTTTTTACAACGCGCTACTCACAACATTGTTTCGATGATTCGTCATTTTTTAAACATATACGTATATGATATTTTAAAGTAGTTTGCATATATTATTATTATTAAACTTATAAAATAGGTATCACGTTCAATTGATATTAAACAATAGATATTTCAGAAGTTCAAAAATTTTAGGTACTTATCTTAAATTAAAAATAGCGACAAGGTGTTAAATTTTAATTTGGAAAACAATTTAACACCAGGGTAAATTTATAACGTGTTATAAACAACTAAAATTGTAAAAAACACTTTTGATTGTGTAAGAGTATAATTTGAATGTTGCAATAAGTGGTTTATTTATTTACTAATTAAGAACACAACTCCCACGAAAGTGTAAATTTTATTTGTTGTTGTCCTGACTAGTTAGCTGCGTAGCTTGTGTATAATTAACGTACTTTTAATAAGTAATAATTAGTAGTGTAACATATAACAGTAACTTAATTTTGGTCAGTAGACGTGAAGCAAAAATGAAAAATGAGCCGTGTGATGGAAAAATCAAGTAATAAGATAAACGTTAAACAATTACGAACAAACATTATGTAAGATTCGATAAGTAAAGAAAAAACGCTGCGAAAACAATAACAATTAGTGGTATATTGGTAAATAGATTAATTTGAATGTAACGTAACATAAATTAGAGAAAATTGCTTTCTCAGAACACCTAAAACCATTGGTATTCACTGCGAAACGTCGTGCAAAAACTCGGAAAAAACTCCTTACCCCTGATCACATATTTCATATGCAGAGGGCTGTTTTGCTTGCTAGAGCAATATTATTTCCATATTTTTCACATAATGCGCCTCTGTATATGGGTTTTATTTCATGTGACATCATGGTAATGCATTTTAACGTCTTATCATTCATTGCGGCATCTTCGCAACTCTTTAAGACTGAGTTCCCGGTAAATATTTGTTAAGGGTCGACCGCAGTAGAATTTATAACGCGAAATCTGTTTATTTATGTGTTGTGCAAGTTTATTAGAAGTTTTTTCGACTGATTGATTTTTGTCAGGGCGCGATCCAATTTATCGAGCATGATTCTCCAAGTCTGTCAAAGGAAACCTCGAAAAGAACATAAAACATCGACTAAGAGTAAAATAAGGGTGAAAGAACAATGAAATTAGAGAGCGGGGAGGTAAAATAAAAAACTTCATCCGAATAATTCTCCGAAGAAAAATACAGTTGAGTAAATATCTGTATCTGTGATGAGCGAGGAGACGGGATATTTACACGGCGAGCCACCGTTAGCAATTTAAATATAAAAGACTGAAGCAAATCAGTTCACGCCATGTTGCCGACGCAATAATGAAACGGGTAAGAAGACGGAAAACGCGATAGAAATGGAAAATATGGTTTTCGATCGGACAGACGCCATATTATCCAATAAAACACGCTTACCGCGTATATATCCGTTGACAAATGTACAGTTTTAAAGGAGGCCAGGATACAGAACATAATTTACAGCAGTCCATTCTCACTAACGCCCATGACTGCTGAATTTCACACTTTACGAGACCGGTGGTGTACTTAACAGTGCGTCTAATTTATGAGCGTCCAGCAAAACTGTCGATGCACCATATGCCCGGCCTGCCACCGACAGCCGTCATTTGTAACTCCTCAGTCCTCACTCACTCACTCACTCAGTCGTCCTCCACTTCCCCGGCCACTAAACAAGGACTGCTAAATATTAATAACTCCCTATTACCTTACTCTACTGGATTTGACCAATTTATTAATTGCGAGCAGTTAGCCCTACTCGCTGCTTTCGTTCCTCCTCGCAGATTTATCGCCCCCTTACGTAAATCTATATCTCTTCTACGGCCCCTCGCACCAAAAACATTATTTCACTTTTTAAAATCCTCCTATTATACCCCCAACCGCATACTTTCTCTTCAGAAACATACAACACGGCTAATATTTTTTGACCGTCGACGAAACGCCTCCATAGACGTTGTCTTCGCAAACTACTTAGTGAAAAAACACCCCCTACTTCCAAAATCGCGTTACACGTATAAATTTACCCCCAATATTGTGTTTTTTAAACAATTGAAACCATCTGCTCCGACTATTTGTTCGTATATTCAACGACAACGACGGAAGATTTTGCGTGCGGCATCGTCTACCTTTCAAACTACGTCCAGTCATCTATTGCGGTGATTTTTTCGTTTTTATTTTTGCTAATTTTTGCGTTAGAATCAATCGAAGATTTGCGACCGGAGCGGATTTCTTGTCAGGAGGGTAAAACTCCCTGCGACGAGCGCGCGACCGCACACGACCCAGCTGAACGAAATAGGGAAATTGGAACGATGTTTTATGTGTTGTGTTGTGTTGTGATGCTATTCACAGTATACAACAGTATACAAGCTTTCTGTGAGGGTTGGTCGTGGATTCAGTTCGCCGCCGACCGCCGACGTGTTAGCGTCGCCGCTTCGTTCCGACGCCGACGGATCGCAACTCGACGTTCCAGATCCCAGAAAATCGCACTCCCACGAAAAAATATACAACGAGCAGTTGAAAAACTCCACAACACCACACTATGTTTACGCTAGTCGACGGGTCGTCATTGTCATGCAACACCAGCATACAAAAAAATGCGCGAAAATTGTAAGTTTGCGACTCGGAAGAGAGGTTAGATGGTAGTAGAGGGTGCGGATTGTCGCAATAAATAAACAAATAAATAAATAAATAAATAATAAACGAGTGGGTACCTGTGCGAAGGAAGCCAGCATCCGAGTCTCGCAGTACTTCATAGATGCGAGTACACAGTGCACTCACAGCACAACACCTAAACACAACTAAACACATAAACGGTAACAGGGTCTATTAATTATTTCTTTTTCGCTAGAAAGAACAAGAGTTAGTTGTGTTGTTGCGCAAAAAGGGTCATTGAAGTCGCCGAGATGCCAGGACGATTCGTAGGCGGGCCGCGCGTCTCCGATGCGCCGCTGCAGTTTGTGTTGTTTGTATGTGTGTATATCTATAGCGGCGGCGACGGCGGCAGCAGCGGCGGCGGCAGCAACGGTGGCGGCAGCGGGCGGACACGCAGAGACGCTCCGCGCAATACCAACACCTCCAACACACCACCCGTTGCCTCCCAACACCAACAACCATCCTTGGCTGCCCTTAACCCCCGGCTGCCACTACGCCTTCGTCCGACGCCAGACTAACCCTTCTTTTTAGAAAAACTGTTTAGTTTTAAAACAAAAACGACGACGAAACTGCACAGCCAGCATAGTATTTATTTTCTTCGATAAACGAAATGGGGCGAGACCCTATAGTGATGGATCATCGAGGGTCGAAGTGGGGGAGCTCCGCGCAAAGCGTCCTCCGTATCGTGACAAATGCAAGATATATCCAAATGCCCTCGGCGAATTAAATTCGGAGTACATACCGTCTAATCAAGAATGAGGTTTGCTTTTTCATTACGGCATACCACCGAAAACCACCCAAAAATATCTAATCTAATTGCGAATATCAAAACGTTGCTTTTTTTCGAGATTCGACGCAAAGCTATGCTGAATCTAACGCGTTTGTTTACGTCGGATCGCAAACTCGACGTTGCTCTCCAACTGCTTTTTCGGATTTAAAGATTAAGTTAACGGATTAACCAAATCTGGTACGTTAATTTGCAGACCATGAGAGGCCCCTTGGTCATTTCGTTAGTGATAACAAAACGCCCTCACATCAACCAAATGAAAAAATGTAAGTTAAATTTAAGAAACTAATGACAGTTTTGTCGCAGTCATTAAACTAACAAAATTATACTATGGATTGTTCAAATTTATGCATAAATTTGCAATTTTAGTATACATTTGAGTTCA